TGCAACATGCAGCGCTAGAGTGATCCTCCCATCTCAGCTTCCTGAGTAGCTGGGACTACAAGCGTGCACCACCCAGCCCTGCTAATTAAAAAAATTTTTTTTTTGTAGAGATGCATATTGCTCAGACTTGAACTTCCGAACTCAAGTGATCTGCTTGCCTTGACCTCCCAAAGTGCTGGGATTATAGGTGTGACTCACCACGCCCAGCCCAGTGAGAAATTTTGTTTGCAGTTCTTAAGCTTGTTTTCTACTTCATAAATTTAAGAACTCTACTTCATAAATTTTGTGTTTTTAAGGGTCTCAAGATTTTGGTTTAAATAAACAAAACTATGTATTTATAAAAATAATTTGAGTCATGTTTCTATTCAAATTTGTATTTTTATTGCATTTAACTTTTTAAAAATTTATTTTAATTAAAAAAAATTTTTTAAGATTGGAAACCATCAACTTGTATTGACAGCAATGATGACTTTTCTCTGTAGCCTATGGTAGTGGACAGAGTGGGCTGACCCAGGATGTTTTTATCTGTAGACTAACAATGACATACATACTTCTAAATAGCCAACTACTTTTTCCTAAAATGGAGCTGAAAGAATTCATAATGGTAACAAATTAGTGTTACAGATACATATTTCAATATGTAAAGGAGCTTTCACCTTTTATGTGAACTTTGGTACTGTGAAGACAGAGGCAATTTTGTTTAGATTTACCCAGATATGTTTCATTCCTAAGAAAAGCCTCTTGGCAATACGTTTATTCAGTTCTGAGAAATGGTGACATTTTGGAAACTTCTTTTAGAAACAGCAGTCACACATGTGGAACACTGGATTAAAATCAAAAATGCGGGCTCTATTTAAGCCCATATTTTTCTACATAGGATCGCAACATAGGGTTAGGACATCCTCCCCTGACCCTACACATTTCCAAAGGAAAATCCAATTTTAGAAGTTTCTACTTGCCAAACTTAAAAAACCCAGTCACCTGAAAGTTAGCCAGCAGGGCATTGCCACCAACCCCAAATAAAGCTGTAGCTTTCATCACGTGCACCAGACAAATCTACAAGGCTAGTTTCAGTATTCCTCTTTTAAAGAATTTATTTTAAACCTATTATACCACACAGCATGTTTCAAACACTGACATATAACTCCCTAATAAGATAAAACAAAGGCAAAAAGGTTTATCTTATTAGAAACAAGATACACCATCACTTTAACTTCTTCAAATATCACTGCACTTTAACTTTCATAATTTGACAAAGCATTCATGAAAAAAGCTACAGACTAGTTTTAACAGACAAAAAATACCTTACCTGTAAGCAGACATGTGCCTGTCCTAAATTTTTTATTAGGTAAGAATTTTACAAACATTATTTATATTAGTGGTAATGGAGAGTATTGCACCTTCTCCAAGCTGCAGGGTGAGAACCACCAAGAGTGTGGTGGAACTTATGGCCCTTCCAAAGCCATGGCTCTTTCGGCCTGCAGATGTCAGCCTCCACCTCCTGGGCTCAAATGATTCTCCTAACTCAACCTCCTATGTAGCTGGGTCCACAGGTGCACACTACCATGCTTGGCTAATTTTTTTATTTTTTGTAGAGATGGGGTCTCATTTTGTTGCCCAGGCTGGTCTCTTAACTCCTTGCCTCAAGTGATCCTCCCTCCTTGGCCTCCCAGAGTCCTGGGATTACAGGCCAGTGATGGATATTGACTATTCACTAGCTTTTGGAAATAAGAAAATTTATTTAGAAACTTGTTTTGTAGTTTATAATCATTAACATTTAGTGTTCTCATAGAAATAGATTATTTGTTCTAATTGGCTAAGAATGTATTTAAAAAGCATCTTGCTTTCTAAATTATAGTTATTTTCTAGGGTTATTTTTTTCTTTTTTTGAGACAGGGTCTCGCTCTGTCACCCAGGCTAGAGTGCATTCGTATGATCATCACTTACTGTAGCCTTGACCTCCTGGGCCCCAGTGATCCTCCCACCTCAGCCTCCCGAGTAGCTGGGACTACAGGCATGTACCACCACACCCAGCTACTAGGGAGGCTGAAGCAGGATAATAGCTTGAGCCCAGGAGGCAGAGGTTGCAGCGAGCCGAGATTGCATCATTGCACTCCAGCTTGGGCGACACAACGAGACTCTGTCTCAAAAAAAAAAAAAAAAGTATCATTTTCTTTTTTTTTTTTTTTAAGAGACAGGGTCTCACTGTGTCACCCAGGCTGGCATGCAGTGGCTATTTACAGGAGGGATCATAGTGTACTACAGCCCTGAACTCCTGGCCTCAAGCAATTTTCTTTCCTCAGTCTCCTGACAGAAATTTTTTTTTTTTTTTTTTTTGAGACAGAGTCTTGCTCTGTCACCCAGGCTGTAGTACCGTGGCACGATATCAACTCACTGCAACCTCCCAACCCGGGTTCAAGTGATTCTCCTGCTTCAGCCTCCTGTGTAGCTGGGACCACAGGCGCCCGCCAGCACGCCCAGCTAATTTTTGTATTTTTAGTAGAGACAGGGAGAACTCCCAGCCTAAAGTGATCTGCCCGCCTTGGCCTCCCAAAGTGCTGGGATTACAGGTGTGAGCCACCACACCTGGCCCGTTATTTTTATATGTTGTAAAATGTCTCAGCTCATACTTAGATTCACTAATTATAACACCAATTCATGGAGTGATATACTTAAATAACAGAGATCTTTAGAAACAAATATGGAGAGAAATTAATAATTTAAATAAACATAGGCAAATTCCTATGTGACTCATAACAATGGTTCTTGTTCTTCCCTTGCTCCTTGAAGCCCACTGCTATGGGAGCTATTGTTTTAAAAGTCTGAGCTCTAAAGAAATTGATGGGTTTACAAGAAGAAAGAAGGAAAGACACTATTAAGTTGAGCTGATTCGGGGAGAAAAACAACAGGCTTGATTATCTGGTATCACTTTTGTCCAAAAACATTTCCTCCTTTGCTGCCTATTTACACTTTATGTAACTGCATCAGAAATTAATTCGGTTTAGCAGGCACCTGCTTTCAAATACAAGATTATCTGTGATTTATAAATTTTTACTTGCTACTTGCTTTCACTGTATATCCTTTTGTATAATTTGAACTTTTTCCTGTGTACATATATTTCCTATGTTAAAAAACATTAAATAAGTTAAACAAAAAAGAATGCTTTCCTGTTAATATCCAGTTGAGATCAGTTCACTGAGGAAACAAAAGCTTTGATTAGGAGTAGGAAGAAATAATTTACAACAAAAATATTTGTGGGGCAGAAAAGACTGAAACATGCAAATATTTGGAGCTGGAGGAGCAGTATGTCAAGGGCAAACAGCTACTAAAAGCAAATAATGGACAGATGTAGGAGATGCCAAACAATGAGGATTCTTTGAAAAACTCTTCTCTTTGTCCCTAAAGTATTTTAAATGGCACTCAGTTTCCACATCTTTTAATCTGGACTACTACCAAAACTATAGTTCAGCTATATCATGAAATAAATAGATCTGTGCCCTGACTCAGGGCTGTAACCACAGATTATAACACTATTTGCATGGAAAATGCATTCTGAGTTCCATGTAAATGACTCCAAAAACATTTGTAAACATAACCCATTTCTAAATTGAGGAAGGTATATTAACTTACAGCATAAGATCATAAGCTCCCAGGCTGCAAGCAGAATCTCACACCTGTAATCCCAGAATTTTGGGAGGCCTGGGTGAGTGGATTGCTTGAGCCCAGGGGTTTGATACTAGCTTGGGTAACATGGCGAAACCCTGTCTCTGCAAAAATACACAAAAATTAGTAGGGCGTGGTGGTGTGGACCTGTAGTCTCAGCTACGCAGGAGGCTAAGGTGGGAGGACTGCTTGAACCCAGGAGGTTGAGGCTGCACTGAATGGCGATCACACCATTGTGCTCCAGCCTGGGCAACAGAGTGAGACCCTGTCTCAGGGCAAAAAAACAAAAAAAAAAAACAAAAAAAAAACATAAGCTCCCAATGGGGAGAAACTTCATTTTCCTTATCTTTACTCTTTAGTGTCCACTGGTGTGGTAGATAGAAGATACACTGAAATGGTAAATGAGCTAAACATATGCACTACTTTGAAAATTTAACCCCCATTCTGCTTAATTCAATCCTTCCAGGAAGACGATACGAATACAGTTGTCCCTCAGTATCTGTGGAGAATTGGTTCCAGGACTTCAGCAGATACCAAAATCCATGGAGGCTCAAGTCTCCTATATAAAATGGTGCATTTGCATATAACCTATGCACATCCTCCCATATACTTTAATCATCTCTAGATTACTTATAATACCTAACACAATGTAAATGCTACATAAATAGTTGTTATACTGTATTGGTTTAGGAAATAATAACAAGAAAAAAGTCTGTATATGTTCAGTACAGATGCAACCATTCATTTTTTTCTCAAAATATTTTCAATCTGTCATTGGTTGAATCCACAAGTGTGTAATACACACATATGGAGAGCCATCTGTATTCTTTCCAGGCTTCTCCTACATAGACAGTAGCTTTCTGCAGATAATGTCTTCATTCAAAGGAACCACCGACAGGACAATATGAAAATGATTGGTTGCTGACCTGTAGGCCTTCCAGGTTCCTCTAGATCTCTCTCTGCTGGCTTCACTGTTTCTAGTTCCATCCTGAACCAGCTATTTGTTAGACACTTTGTTCCTAAACCACGTATTACTTCTCCATCCATGTAAATCTGAAGTAAATGTCTTACTCTATTTTACCCTGAGCTGGTCTATTATGCATATGCTGGGAGAACTGGGCTCAATGAGTATTAAAATTAAGGCATCATATATAACCATTATAGAATATCACAAACCACATCACAACTAAGGTATTTTACTTATTTAAGAGAGAATATTTCAGGTCAGGTATAAACTATTAATTTCTACAAATAAATTCTTTTAAATGGTCACTTTAACAAATATGAACATCTTCCTGCAGAATACACATATGTAATTTCAAAAATAACAAACTTACTCATCATTGTCTTTTGTTGTCGATTCTTTGCTTTCAGTTAAACTGGGGTGATTCAATTTTTTTCTCTTTTCTATATATGTGTAATAAAGAAAAGGACATAAAGTTAAAGGAGAAATCATCAAATTTTAAATAGAATTTTGTCAAATTTTAAATAGAAAGTAAAAAGGTGGACAAATGGAAGGGAGGTGGGAAAAGAAAAAGTATCCTATTTTGTTTTTCTTTTTCCATTTCCTATTTGCCTAATTTCTTATTCACAATACCACATAAGAAAAAATAATCTTTTGAATAAAATTTCAACTGAAGGTTGGTATATTAAAGAGAAATCCAATATGATTCCATAATTAGGTTAAAATGCATTAGTAAACTTTATTAGATAAAGGATACTTTCATCAAAGATTTTAATCAATGATATTATATTAAGGCTTCCAGTTTGCATTATTCCACCTCTATTTTTTTTCTCAAGTTAACAACAAGGGATTGGTGATACTGATACTCAGAAAATAGTTAAGTTCCTCATAGTATCATTGTAAAATAAATTTGATTTTAGGGGTAAAAGTACCTTTTTAATTTTATTTTTAAATTGACACTAAATATTTATAGTATATAACATGTTCTGAAATATGTATATATTGTAAAATGGCTAAACCAAACTAGTTAACATATCTACTACCTTACATACTTACCATTTTTTTTGGTATGAACGCTGAAAGTCTACTTTCTTAGCAATTTTCAACTGTATAATATGTTGCTATCAATTATAGTCAATTATACAATAATTGAACTTGTTCCTCCTGTCTAGCTGAAATTTTTATCATTTGGTCAACATGTTCCCAATCACTCAGCCCTCCCGACCAGCAGACCCTGGTAACCACCACTCTATTTTCTGTTCTATGATTTTGACTTTTTTAGATCCCACTTATAAGTGAGATCATGTGATATTTGTCTTTCTGTGCCTAGCTTACTTCCCTTAACATAATATCCTCCAGGTTCATTCATGTTGTCCCAAGTGGCAGGATTTCCCTCTTTTTAAAGGTTAAGAGCATTCCATTGAGTATATATACCATATTTTCCTTATCCATTCATCTGTTCATGGGCACTTAGGTTGATTTAGTATCTTAGCTATTGTGAATAATGGTGCAATGAACATGGGAATCCAGATATTTCTTTGACATACTGATTTAATATCCTTTGAATATATACCCAGTAGTGGGATTGCTGGGTCATATGGTAATTTTATTTAAATTTTTTGAGGACCTGAATCTTTAAATGTGTATTTATTTAGTAAATCCTTGGAAAGATCTAAGTATATCATTCATTATTTATTTAAGATAACAGGCTGGGCGCAGTGGCTCACGCCTGTAATCCCAGCACTTTGGGAGGCCGAGGCAGGCGGACCACAAGGTCAGGAGATCGAGACCATCCTGGCTAACTCGGTGAAACCCTGTCTCTACTAAAAACACAAAAAATTAGCCAGGCGCGGTGGCGGGTGCCTGTAGTCCCAGCTACTCGGGAGGCTGAGGCAGGAGAATGGCATGAACCTGGGAGGCAGAGCTTGCAGTGAGCTGAGATCGCGCCACTGCACTCCAGCCTGGGCAACAGAGCAAGACTCCGTCTCAAAAAAAAAAAAAAAAAAAGATAACAATAAAATAAATAAATGGTTACATTCCATTTAAAATGCCATCTAGTTATCCAAGGTCATAGCTTATCTAAACTTTTACAAGTTTCACAAATTGACAGAGGCACACGTGAAGACATAAGATGTAACTAAGTCATAATCCTTCATATGCTCACTGGGTTGAAATGTAAGTTTGTTTGATTTTATAGCTCTTATAGAACATAATGTTTGTACTTATCAATGGTTAAGCAGATAATTGTTTTATGAGCTATTTAGTTGTTTGTTCTAGAGTACTTTATACTACCATATACACCAAGTACTTTAAACACATTTGATACATAATTAGCAAGTATTTGAGGATACATATTAGTACAGTTAAGATTTTCAGTGCCTTGCATATACTAGCTTTTGATGTTTATTGAATGAATAAACAAGCAAATGAATGAATAACCCAAACTGTTGACCACTAATAAAAAAAAGTCAAAAGAAACTCAATTTCATTGAGTCCACTGGTTCAGAAGTCGATTAATAATAACTCCTCTCATTGTTACTTTGAACCTATGTCTTCCTCAAAAACAATAACAACAACAACAAAAACCTATCATGTTACCCCAAAATAGTCTCTAATGGCAAAAGGAGAAAAAAGTTATAATTTAGAAATTTTGTTAAAGCACTAGTTATTTCTCTTGTTTATGAACTATGCCTTATTTGACAAGTCAGTATCCTTGTTTCAAACGGAATAAATTAATATGGTTAAAAATGTAGTAAAGAAAGTAAGGGGAAAAGAATAACAATATTTTGTGATTTTAGAGAGTTTTGGAGTAATAAATTAAAATCTGTCTCTGAAAAAAGTTAAGCTGAAAATGAATGTTTTGTGGAAAACCACAAATGAAAACCCAAATATACCTTAAACCTTTATTTCAGAAAATCTTTGCCTAAAGGTCAATACTAATTTCCTGAATTTTGTACTATGCTGTTTGCATTCAGTAAGGCTCCAAAATTAAGTATTAAAATTACTTTGTTCCTTTAACTTGTAATTCGTTTTCACATTTCAGCACTAATAGCAAAAAATGTCAGGTAAGAAATAGTAAAGAATGTTATTTGAATTTTCACTAGGTATTCAATGCCTTTTTAAATATTTTTATTATAAGAGAACTAGTCAAATATCTCACCCTGTAAAAATGCATCAATAGTATTAACTTCAGTCTTCTCGTGGAAGGATTTATGATTTTAAATAATTTTCAGCTGTTAAATATGAAGAATTTTAATATTTCTAAGAGTAATACTTAGATCAGTTATTAGACTGTTGAGTAATACAACATATTGAGTAGTAAATGAGTTTTCCAGTTACTTAATACATTCCTTTATTTCATTCCATTCTATTAAAAAAAAGTAAGCACAAAAGGACTGTGGAATCTATATGGTATTTTTCTTGTGAGATTATATGTAAAAGTGAGCAAACACTTGTGTATTTGACTCTCTTTAAGTGCAGTTTCACAAAACATTGGTGACAAATGTACCATCACTGAATCTGAACTAGATTCAGAATTGTATTTGAGCTTTTTGGTAAGGCTCCAGGGAGCTCTTTCCCTAACCAATGAAGATAGCTTTCAACAAATTGTTGACACTTGGAAGCACAATCAATAGTGATGACAATGGCTAACACTTACATGGTATTAACTAGGGCCAGGCATTGCTTTAAATATGTTACATATGATATCTAATTAACTTGCACAACTCTGACACAGTCACTCTTGTTCCCATTTTACAGATGAGAAAATAGAAGTACAGAATGGTTACATAACTTATCCCAGTCCATAAAGTTAGTGAGTGAGGATTGAAACCCAGACATTTAGTTGAAGACTGTGCTCTTAACCATGATGCAATGCTTATTAATAGACTAATGTAGGCTGGGCACAGTGGTTCACGCCTGTAATCCTAGCACTTTGGGAGGCCGAGGTGGGTGGATTGCCTGAGCTCAGGAGTTTGAAACCAGCCTGGGCAACACGGTGAAACCCTGTCTCTACTAAAATACAAAAAAATTACCCGGGCACAGCAGTATGTGCCTATAATCCCAGCTACTTGGGAGGATGAGACAGGACAATCACTTGAACCTGGGAGGCAGAGGTTGCAGTGAGCCAAGATTACACCACTGCACTCCAGCCTGTGTGACAGAATGAGACTCCATCTTCAAAAAAAAAAAAAAAAAATTAATGTAAAGTCCAAACAGGTTTAAGCTGGTATCATGCTGCTTATAGGTACCCTTACTTTATAGTTGATAAATATTATAGGCAATAATTTTGGTCTCAAACAAAAAGTTAAGAGTTGGGAAAACCTTGATCCACAGAGGTTTAAGTGATTTGTCTAAGGCGGTCAAACAAAAGTTAGTAACTTCTTTCTGAAAAGGTTACTAGCATGTAGATCAAGTTGAGGCCTGCAGGCAAAGAGGTGAATGAGATACTGATACAGTCCTGCTATTCTTTTAATAAACCAAATTAATATTAATAAACTAGAGTGGTAGGTAAATAACCTCTTTAGAGGATCAACTCATGAAAAATAACAATATTAATTTTTTTTTTTCTTTTTTTGAGACAGAGTCTCACTTTGCTAGCCCAGCCAACCACTGCCTCCCAGGTTCAAGTGATTCTCCTGCCTCAGCCTCCTGAGCAGCTGGGACTACAGGCATACACCACCAGGCCTGGCTAATTTTTGTATTTTTAGTAGAGTCTGGGTGTCGCCATGTTGGCCAGGCTAATCCTGAACTCCCGACCTCAGGTGATTTGCCCACCTCAGCCCCTCAAAGTGCTGGGATTACAGGAGTGAGCCACTGCACACGGCTGAATGGTTCTTTTTCACTCAAAATGAAAACACCTTTATTAAGTCGCATAGATAGAAATGTAACAACATTCTTAAAATATTACTTACACTATTGAATAGGTTATCGCTGAGAAAACTGAAATAACTTTTTATCTACTAAAACAGTAATATTTGGGAAGCAGTAACAAAAATACAGGTTTTTTACATCTTTCATTCAGATTACTTTGTGTTGACTGGGTACTTGACAGTCTGATAACTGACCTAAGTGTTATTCTTAGAAATATTAAAACTTGTCATATTTAAAAGCTGAAAAGTATTTAAAAGCCTAAGTCTTTCCATGAAAATATTGAGATTAATATTATTGATCTACATTTTACAGGGTAAGATATTTGACTAGTTCTTTTACAATAAAAATGTTTAGCATTTGGCCCACACCTCAGATTGCTCACCACAGATTTAAGGAGGTAGTATAGTAGTTTATCAGCTCCTTTACATATTGTTTGTTCCTTCTGCTACTTGAAAAAAAATCAGTCTTGCCAGAGGGCTACCATTTCATTAGACTTTTCAGAGAACTAGCTTTTGACTTGTTGCTTACTATCCTGTTTTCAATTTATAATTTCTCTTCATATCATTATTTC